TGGCTTTGAGGCATATTCAAAAGAACAAATCCTATTTCTGGATGAGAAAGTGAGGCTGAGAAGAATAAAAGACAAGGGGCCTGAAATCAGAGCTGCTTTCATGTCCACGTCTCCTCCCGGAGGACCATTCACTGGCATCTTCTTCTTTTTTTTTTTTTTAAATCCCTGTCACACTTTCCCCTCTCCCCACACCCAATGCCAGTTTGTCTCCTCCTGACCTATTTGCTAACATGGCCTTTCTTGGGACTTCCCTGGAGGTAGAGTGGTTAAGAGTCCACTCTTACACTGCTGGGACTGTGGGTTCAATTCCTGGTTGAGGAAAGATCTCACATGCCTCACAGCCAAAAATAAAAATAATCACAAAGTGGCCCTTGTTTTTTGGGGTAACCCAGAGAGCCAAGGTCCTGGCTTGCTGGGAAGAGGGTATATGAGCCCATCTGACAGGAGAAGGAGGCAAAGCCAGGACTGTGGAGGGTGAGCCACAGAAGAACCACACTAAGCCCTTGCCTGCACACACCGGGACAGTAAAGGCAGTCCATGGGCCTGGACACTGTGGACAGCAGAGCTGGGGCATCTATCTGTCCACCGCCCCCTCAGCTGAAGGTGCTATGAGGGGCCAGGGTGGGTGTGGACACTGAGATACGCCAGTGCGCTAGAGCACTGTCCTTCTGCTGGGCATTTCAGGCTGCCCTCACTCATAGAACTTATATTTTTGTGTGTCCCTACCAAGTGTCAAACACTATGCAAAAGATCAAGGATTCAGCAGTAAATAACTCAGACCATGTTCCAAGCCTTGAGGAGTCTTTAGTTCCAATGAGGGACACAGACGTGAGGCAAATATTACACAAATATCTGGAAAACACAGTGTCCTATGAGAGAATTCACCCTCAAGGTCCTAATCAAAGACAGAGTGTGTGGGATGGGGGGCTGGGCAGCCAGGATGGTGTGGAGTTAGTGGGTAGGGACAGTTCTTGGCCCCTATCCCACTGGCCTCCTCTCCCCCGCATTCCAGTCCCTTCAGGAAATCTGTTTCCAGGAAGGCTGCTCTGCTAAGTATCTTCAAGGCTGCCTCAAGCGGCGTCTTTGTGAAAGCTCTTTTAGTGTTTCTGCCTGGGTGAGCACAAACTCAGGTGTGTGTGGTGTGGGAGACCAGAGGGGCGGGCAGATGAGGGTGTTTGATCTTTGATCCTCAGCTAAACTCAAGCCTCTCCAATCCTCATCAAAGGCCTGTGTGTGCGTGTAGGAGAGCCTGGTGGGGCTAGAAGTTGCTGGGATGAAATGCTGGTATGAAACTTTCAATTCTGAGAAACAATTTTCAGATTAACTGAGAGCCAGGGCTCTTCCTAAAGTACCTCTGAAAATAGCCGTTCAACATAAAGCCTGAAATTAGCTTCTGCAGGAGAGGAAGCCCTCCGGGGCTGACAGCGGCCAGCCAGCCAGCCCCCGGAGCCATCCTTGCCGGCACCGCTGGGCCTGCAGGCCGCCACTGCAACCCCGCCTCAGTATGCCCACCGGCAGGCTCCTTAAGAAACACCTTGCGGCCTTCACTAAACATGCTTCTCCCCTCTCCTCTGCTTCTTTTACCCTCAGGGACTCTCCCTGTGGAAAAGAAACCCCACTTCCTTGGGCTGTGAGGCTGTGATTTCCGGTTTCATTTTTCAGTTTCCATATAGAAGCTGTTCTGCCAGCTCTCCACTCCTCATGCCCCAGGGCACCAGAGGGGCTGAGAGGCAGAAGAAAAACGTGTTCCTGTCAGTACCCTGCTCCATGGAGCTCATGGAGGTGGGGACTGGGCGAACCCTGGGTAGGGGAGATTGTTAAAATGCAGATCCCTGGCTCCCCTGTCTCTGAGGTGGTAGATTTGGGTCCTTTTGATTCTGACGCGGCCTTTGGACCCTACAAGGACTCACAGCCTCAGAGACCATCAAAACAGCCAGACCTCAGCTGAGCAGAGCCCAATCACTCCCCAAGGCTCTTCCCACAACTGCTTGTGAAGCTTTGTTCCACATGCCCTGCCTCTTCCCTGCCTGGAATTGGACATGTTTCAGATGTCAGTTCTTTGGGGGTGGAGATCTGAGGAAGCCCAGGCTGTGGTCCTCACACAATCTCCTTTCTTCCTCACACTCCAGATCTCCCTTTAAGATGCTAATTTGTAATAGACATTAAAATAGGCATTAATAGAAACAAAAGAAAGAAAAATTCTATTAAGAGCCCTTACATCCTTTTGTTCTGTCCCTGCTAATTCCAAAAAGGATTTAAGAACATTTACACATCTGTATTTTTCCCTATGTGTGTGAGAGAGACAGACAGAGGCAGAAACAGAGAGAGAGAGAGAAAACCTGTGTGTGGGGTGGGTCTTCCAAAGAACCCTTGCCCCGGTTTGACCTTGGAGGAAGCAGGTGGTTAGGTCCCCAAGCCTGGCAGATGTAGACCTTTGCTAATCTCTAGGGCAAATTTGTTCTTCAGTGTTTCTAGTATCACTTTTTGATCAATCATTAATCAAAGTTGCAATAAAAAGATAATCTTCTCAGGACTGGGCTATAAAGGTTTTGGTTGAAACCTTAAATAAACCCTTTTGTGGAGGCCTCAAAGCTGAGAGAGAAGGGTCTTACGTCTGTGGCTGGATTTAGAAACAAATGAAGGCTGGGCACAGACATGAACTTTAGTCACCTGAGTGACGGTGGCCTCCTGATTCACCTCTCACTGCCAGTGAAGCTGGTTATGTCCTGGCTCCTGGACCAAGTGGCGAAGCTGGGGAGGGAGGCTGCAGCTGGGCCCAGATGTGAGGGTCTGGGAGCACTTCCACAAGCTGTGAGAGTGGCACAGCTCTGGAGGCCAGGCCTGTGGCAGCCCCCAAAGCCCACAGGGCCCATGCGGTGGAAGGCACCCTTATCTCTCATAGCTGGGCTCATTCCTGCCAACTCAGGCTTATGCAGGGCAGAGCAATGCCTGGTGTGAAGAAGGCCCACTTCTCAAGGGAGGAAGAGAGGAAGTGGCTGCTTCTCCCAGGACCCAGCAGGCGTAAAGTCTATGGGACCCTATTGCTCTCTGTGCTCCCTCACAGTGGAGAAGGTGGATCTGCTCGCTGGGGACTGGGGCTACAGGCCCTTGGCTGCAGAACCTGGATCTAGGAGCTAGAATCAACATCGATATTGTGAGGCTCAGCACCATGTCCAGGAAGCAAGGACCCCCAAGGCAGTGCATGTGGACCTGGGCTAAGTGCAGCCTGGACCAACAGGCTTAGCGTTTAAGTTGTCAGCGACCTTTGCAGGAGCCACAGCAACTGCATCATCCAAGAAAGCTCTGACGTGCTCAGAAGCATGTGTCTAAGACCTGCAGTATCTGAGAAAGTGGGAGAGGCACTGTTCTCTCTCACTGTTCTCTCCAACCCCCTCAGACATATTACCAGGCCCGCTTTGTACCATGTTTCAGACCCACGGAAGAAATGGGCATTTTCAGTGAAGAGCAACCCTAGAAGCAGTGAAATTATAACAGGTGTGAGAAATTGCTCAAACGATTGCTGTATAAAACAGGGATAGCCCCGTTTTGAATGTCTGGAAAGGAGGAAGCAGCACCAATAGGAACAATTAAGACAATTGAGGGACACGTGGTGAGGCTTTCTATATGTCCAGTGTGGTCTCCAAAGATACACACACACACACACACACACACACTCACTCACTTTTTTTTTTTTAAAGAGAGAGAACGAGAAAGGAATGGGAAGATACACACTGAAATTTTAACAGCAGGCTTCCTCTAGCTGGTAAGATTATGAATGATTTGAACTTTTCCCGTTTGAGCTTATCAATAGTTTCTAAAATGCCTACAGTGTATGTACCCAAATTACTTTATAATGGCAAATATATATATAACATAACATTTACCATTTTAACCATTTTTCAGTGTGCAATTCAATAACATTAAGTATATTTACATTGTGGTGCAGCCATCAGTACCATCCAACTCCAGAATTTTTTCATCATCCTCAACATAGACTCCAAACCCAGCAAACTAATTCCTCATTCTCTCCTACTGCCGGTGGTTGGCAACCCCCATTCTCCTTTCTATCTCTATGAATTTGACTATTTTAGGTACCTCATATAAGTTGAATCATACAATATTTGCCCTTTTGTGTCTGGCTTATTTCACTTCCTACTTTAGAAAGTGAAATAGCTTTAGTTTTCAAGGTTTATCCATGCGGCATGGATTTCAGGAATTTCACTCATGCATATGACAGAATTTCATTCCTTTTTAAGGCTGAATAATATTCCATGTGTATATATACCTCATTTTGTTTATCCATTCATCTATCAAAGGACGCTTGTCAACTGTTTGCACCTTTAGGCTACTATGAACATGGGTATACAAAGGTCTCTTTGAGACTCTGGTTTTAGTTCTTTTTGATTCTACCAGAGGCAGAATTGCTGGATTATAAGGTACGTTTATTTTCATTTTTTGAGGAATTGCCATCCTATTTTCCACAATGGCTGTACAGTTTCCACAGTGGCAGGGCATCAATTCAGTTCAGTTCAGTCACTCAGTTGTGTCCGACTTTGCGACCCCATGGACTGCAGCATGCCAGGCTTCCCTGTCCATCACCAACACCAACTCCAACTCCCAGAGCTTGTTTAACTCATGTCCATCAAGTCGGTGATGCCATCCAACCATCTCATCCTCTGTCGTCCCCTTCTCCTCCTACCTTTAGTCCTTCCCAGTGTCAGGGTCTTTTCCAATGAGTCAGTTCTTCGCATCAGGTGGCCAAAGTATTGGAGCTTCAGCTTCAGCATCAGTCCTTCCATAGGGGATAGTCTTTCCCAGCATCAGGGTCTTTTCCAATGAGTCAGTTCTTCGCATCAGGTGGCCAAAGTATTGGAGCTTCAGCTTCAGCATCAGTCCTTCCATAGGGGGTCTAATTTCTCCACACCTTCACCAACACTTGTTATTTTCTTTCTTTCTTTTTTAATAATTGTCATTCTAAAGGGTGTTAAGTGGTATCTCATTGTGGTTTTGATTTGCATTTCCCTAATCCAAACTAAATGTTATTTTTTAAAATATTTATTTATTTGGCTGTGCTAAGTTTCAGCATGGAGATCAAGATTTTTAGTTGTGGCATGAGGGATCTAGTTCCTTGACCAGGGATCAAACCTGGACCCCCTGCATTGGGAGCACAGAGTCTTAGCTACTAAACCACCAGGGAAGTCCCAAAATATTTATTTTTAATCCAATTTTGCCTGAATCAAATCATCTGTCCCTTATTTCTTAATAATATGGACCTTATCTTCCTTTTTTGGTAATACTTAATCTTTGCACTTTGGTTTTTTTAGATTGTGGTAAAATACACATAAAACAAAATATACATTCGTAACCATTTATAAATGTACAGTTCAATATTGCTAAGTAAATTCACTGTTGTGACCAAACATTACAATGATTCGAAGAACCAAAAGGCTATTAAAAAAGAGGAAGAAGAAATATGTGGATCCTCAGGTCCTGAAGATGTTCACACACTTTAGCTCAGCCTTGGCAGAGACATGCATTCATCTAGAGCACTGCTGATGTGCTGGGCTCTGTGCCAGATAGGAGGAGGCACTAAAGTGAGTGTAGTCTGGTCTCTGCCCTCAGATTTCAACCTCTGTGGGAAGCAGTTGCACCCAAGGCTTCTGTGGGCCCAGTGGGCCACAATGTCTTCAGGTACAGCGTAGAGAAGGCAGCACAAATGAGGTGGCTTGTGAGCTGTGCCCCAGAAGAAGAGCAGACGTTTGCAGGTGTGTGAGGGCAGAAAGGAACTGGTCTGTGCTGTTGGGCTGTGGCAGCCCCTCCATTAGCACTTGGTAATGATTAATGCCTCTCTTCCCTACTTGACTATAATCTTCATGAGAGCAGGGCCGGGTAGTCTCGTTCACTGTTGAACCTGCTTTGCCCAGCGCAGACAGGGATAAAACGGATACTTGCTGAATAAATGAGCAGGGGAGGAGAAGAAAGAGGGGAGAGGAGATGTCTCATTCCAGAATCTTGGCCATGAGAGGCAGACAGCACGGCTGTACTCCATGGGGAAGGGGATGGAGGGAAACATCACCAGGATGATGGAGATGGGGGCATGCCAAGTACTGCACTCCAGGAGCCAGGGGAGAAGGAAAGTTTGAAGACCCAGGTTTGAGAGAGCTGAAGGGCTTGACTGCTGGATAGGGGGCTGGGTGAAAGGGGAGAGATGGGGGTGCAGGGTCAATGGGAGGAGAGGGGTCTCTCACTTTATGATATGTGGATGGTCAATATGAAGAAAATAGGAAATGCAAGTCGCTGACAAGGACGTGAAGGAACTGGAGCTCTCATACACTGCCGGGAGAGTACTCTTCCAGGCTTCAGACAGCACTCTGGTTGCTGGCTGGTTCAGGCTACCATTTGGGCCAATCAAGGGAACCATAGCATCTGCACTTGGACTATCGGACATAAAATACTTTATGTCCAGAGCAATTTCCAAGATGGGCCTGAATCCAGGGGACATGGAACAACCAAGAGCCCAGAGTTGGCTCTGTGCTCACCAGGCTCCAAACTGTCAACTTTGCCCACATGCCTCCATGGACCTCATCTCACATCAGAGAGCTGGCAGGACTTCAGTCAGCAGAAGGTGGACTCTGCTCTTTTCAAGGACACATGGTGCCAGCTCTGGGCACCGTGGTAAACTCCATCAGGGCATGCACACCCCGTCAGGCACCAGCATCTGAGCCCTCTACCAGATGAGCAGCACATGTGCCAACACGGAGCCCTCATGGGATAGCACTGCTGACACCTGCGGAGCTCCGGGCTGAGGGAAGGACTCTGTGTGTGATCTGTATTTTTTTGCATCTTCCTTTCCAGTTTGGAGGACATTATCACTGAGTTACCAACTGCCACTTAACCCACTGTGGGGGAGCACAGAGAAGTGTCCAGCAGTCCTGGATGAGGCTGCAGCAGGGGAGGAGATGAGCACAGACGATGCAATGAGGACTTAATAGAAGGCGAGGTGTAATTGGGAGCCACATTGTGAGTTCTCACTCTAAGTGCTGCAGAAGTTCAGAGGAGTAAGGGGTTAAGTACAGGGAAGGAGGCCAAGGAAGGTCCTGGATCAGGGCCCCCAAGGTGGGGCACAGAGGACAGAGAAGACCAGTACAGGTGAGGGAAACAACTGGGACCTATGTGCAAACCTGTAGAACTTAAGAGCTAGCCAGGCCTGGCCTCATGTGGAAGAGCCCCACAGGCTGCCTTCTGACCCAGAACAGAGGCCACAGACAGCAGGCCTCCCTCATCTTTACATGGAGCGCATGCTCCTTTGCCCTCAGCCTGACCACAATGCCACACAAGCTGCGTCCCACTCATGCTGGCCTGGAAACTGGGAAGTACCTGGCATGGGGCCCCTCCACTTCCTCCACATGACTGCCTAGAGCTCCAAGGGGACCGGAAAAGGGTGATTTTTGTGGTCAGGAAATGCCTGTGGCAGCTGTGGACACCACAGGCCTTCCCTGAACCCGTCTGAAGTGGAGACCACATTCCCAAAGACTTTCAACTGCCTGAACTCTAGCTCCAATCTCTTGCTTCTTCCTGGGAGGTTCATTGTGGCATGGCAGGTAACAGGCATCTTTCCCCATGTCCATTAGGTCCCTCAGATCCAAAATGCTCTAAGCTCAAAGGCAGAACACTGAGAGGCAGAACAGCAGATATGAAGTTGTGGTTTAGCTCAATGGTTTTTAACCTTGGCTGCACACTAGAGCCACCTAAGGAACATCTTAAAAGTACTCATGTCCAAACACTTCAACAGGCACTTTGCAAAGGGAGGATCTAATGGCTAACATGTGAAAAGGTGTTCAACTGCATTAGTCATTAGGGAAATGCAAATTAAAACCACACTGTGATATCATCACACACCCACCAGCATGGCTAAAATGAAAAAGTTAGAAAACACCAATCACTGGCAAAGACAGAGAGCAACCAGAACTCTTATACATCACTGAGAAAGTATAAATTGGTGCAGTCACTTTGGAAATTATTTGGCATAAGGTTCTAAAGGTGTACAGACTGATTTTTATACTTGCCCAGCAACTCCATGTCCAAGTATGGACCCAACAGAAACGCAAGCAAATGTGCTCTAAGACACCAATGAAGGCTCATGGCAGCAGTAGTCATAATAACCCCAATGGCCAACTACAACCCAGGTAGTCAAATACAGAGAAGCAGAGGAATATCCACATGGTTGAACACCCAATAGCAATGAGAATGAACTAGCTACAACAACTACAAGCCAATTGTAAGATAGCTTTGATGAACCTCACAAATACAATGTTGAGCAGAAGAAGCCAGATATAAAAGAATATATTCTATTTGATTATACTTACATAATATAAAGCATAAAACAGGTAAAACTAAATTTCTACCATTAGAAATGAGAACGGCAGTTATGCTTTGGGGCACCAGAGGATGCAAGTGATGTTTCTTGATCTGGAAGCAGCTTAGGATAAATTCACTTTGTCAAAATTCACCAAGCTTTACACTGATGTTTTTTTTTTTCCTCTCTCTTATTTTTTTGCATGTATATTATCTGTCAATAAAGACTTAATTTTTTTTTTTTATAAAAGCCCACATCAATTCAGTCAGTATCTTTGGGGTGAAGATGAGGTCCAGGCATCACTACTTTCAATATTCTAGATAACTGTAATGTGAAGCCAGGATTGAAAGCCATTGGTTTAATTTCTTGGGAGAAGCAGATCTACTAAGAGGCTGTAAAGGGTCTTGATAAAAGGCACTTCCAGCTTGGTGGAGTGAGATTCTGGGGCGAGAAGTCCAACTTTGTTGATGCGATGAAGTCTCCTGCCTGGGCAGAGGAAGTATTGCAGTATGCTGTTGTAATGTTTCTTCCCTGGCACGGTCTGCTGAAAGCTGGTTGCGTCAGTTTGCAGTGGTGCATCATGGGAATCAAGTGGGCCCTGGCCCCTCCTCAGGCAAGGCAGGGTGGGTAGGCTCCATTCAAGGTGTCTACGTTTGTGGCTAACAGCCCACTCTGGGCTCTAGATGATGCACAAACTCTCTGGCCTCTGCGTCCAGATTAGGAACTTGCGACATCTTGCTGAGGATGACGTCAGGCTTGATGCATGTGCCTGGGTTCAGAATTTTCCTTCTATTCCAAGTGGTTAGTGGCAGCTGCCCAAGCAATGGCTGAATTCTGGCACACCCTAAGCCGGGCTGGATGAAGCACAAGCTGGAATCAAGATTGCCAGGAGAAATATCAATAACCTCAGATATGCAGATGACACCACCCTTATGGCAGAAAAATGCTTTTGAACTGTGGTGTTGGAGAAGACTCTTGAGAGTCCCTTGGACTGCAAGGAGATCCAACCAGTCTATTCTAAAGGAAATCAATCCTGAATATTCATTGGAAGGACTGATGCTAAAGCTGAAACTCCAATACTTTTCCACCTGATGCACAGAACTGACTCATTGGAAAAGACCCTGATGCTGGGAAAGATTGAAGGTGGGAGGAGCAGGGGATGACAGAGGATAAGAAGGTTGGATGGCATCACTGACTTAATGGACATGAGTTTGAGTAAGCTCCAAGAGTTGGTGATGGACAGGGAAGTCTGGTGTGCTGCAGTCCAAGGGGTTGCAAAGAGTTGGACATGACTGAGCAACTGAACTGAACTGAAGCAAACTATGGGCAGTTTGGAAAAGACATGGACTTACACACTACACAAGTGTTCTGCCTGCTTGGGGCCCATCCACCCTTCCAGAAGTGCATGGACCTTGAACCTTCGGCTATGGGAGGAGTGCAGAGAGGCCCCAGAAACCTCCCCCAGCCCTCCAGGGTCCTCCACTTTCCAGCCAGGGGCTGGTTCCTCTGGCCATGTTCCTACATATCTGTCTCCCAGCGGTATGTTTACAGAGCAAGAATGAACAGGATGGGGCCTGGGGCCTCTTGCACCTCTGTTCGGTGGGACACTTCAGCTCACTTGGCTGAAGGACACAGAGTGGTGTAGGTTGAAACAGAATAAGGCAAACTGAAAAAGGCTACATCACTTGAGGGTAGCCACACTGAAAATAACAAACCCTTCTCCAACTGCCCTGTCCCCACTCCTCAAATTATTAATAAAATAATTTTATTAATAAAAAAAAGTCCTTAGAGGTAAGAGAATCATGAATAAGGAAGCCAGGGTATAAGCATGTCTCTCTACTGAAGCTGCAACCCTCGATTTCCCTGGCTTTGGGCTCCTTCCTGGGAGACAGGGCAATGCCTCCAGGCCTCCTCCTCCTGCCCAGGAGGGCTGAGGCCCAGGAGCCTGCTGGTGTGGGTCGGGGAGGTTGGGCCCTGAGGGCTATGCCTGTGCTGCCCCTGATGGGGGCACATCAGCCCCCATGTGCCACCTCACCACCCATCTGTGAACTGCCACAGTGGCAACCTTGGCCAGCCAGAGTGACACTACCCCTTCCTGTCATCATCTTTGAGAAGTATTTATGATACATTTCCTTTTTCTGCTTTAGGAAATGGGGGGCCAGGAAAAATTCTGCTTGAAAGGGGTGCATAAATTCACCAAGGGTGGATTGGACAGCAGGTGGTGAGGAGGTAAGAGAATCCAGAGAGCATTCCAGAAGGTGAGTCGTGAGGGCTGAGCTCAGAGGTGCCACGGGAGAGCTCGGCTGCTGTAGGGTGTGAGCCCTGATGCTGCTGCAGGGCTGTGGGGCTCACTGGGCTCTAGTGGACAGATAAGCACATGGCACTTCCCAGAGCAAAAGCATCAGAGAAGCTACTGACCGGGAAGCACAGAGGCCTGGCAGGTCTGAACTAAGGGACTTCTAATGTCACACTGGGGGAATCCCACTCAGAATTGCTCTGGATGTCCCCCAAATACCCACTTTACCTTAAGACCCAGCAAGGATCTGTTATGCAGGAAGGGATTTAATCCTTTTCTAAAACCCCTGATATTTTCCAGCCTGTGATATAATTTCTGAAAGTCATCATAAATTCTCTCTCCTGGTTTCCTTCTATTTACATGCTTATTTTCCTTTTCAAAACACCTCAGTAACATTTCCCCACATGAAGACGTCACTAATGCTGTACCCTCTACTATCTATTCTGCTTAACAACTAGGAAGTGAATTTTCAAAAGCCCCTGAGTAACCCAGAGATGGCAAGGAGCTCACACAGAACATTTCAAAGAGGATGCTTCAGGGCTCATGCAGGGACCATTATTGTTTTAGAAGCAAATCAGAAGTTTCTGTCTGGGCAGGGTCCCGGTAACGAGCAGAGCTTAAGGAGGGACTGTTTCCAAGGGGGTGAGCAGCATCGAGGAAAGGAGAAACACCTTGGAATCAGTGACAACGGGGAGCTGTTACCATGGCCTGGAGGGAGGAGGAGGTGGGACTGTTACTAGGACCCTGAGAGAGCAGAAAGAATGGCTGCTGGGAGTTGCAGTGGCTTTAAGGAGAAGAACACAGTCCTGACCTGAGGCCTGGCAAGGGAGGGAGCTGGCGGGGCTGGGAGGGGGGGATGGATAAAGTACCCTAATACACTCCAACATTACTCTCATATCTCCTGCAGGGGCCTTCACCTGGCCAAACCCAACTGGAAGCACAAAGGCATGGAGCCTGGTTGGTGCAATCCACAAAGGTCAAAAGCCGGGAAGTGTGGGAAAGGGTAGAAAACGCGCAGGGGCCGGCTGGTAGGGGGATACCCTGCACGTGTGCGTCCTAAGTTACTTCAGTTCTGTCCAATTCTTTGTGACCCCGTGGACGGTAGCCCGCCAGGCTCCTCTGTCCATGGGGTTTTTCAGGCAAGAATACTGGAGCGGGTTACCATGCCTTCCTCCAGGGAATCTGCCGGACCCAAGGATCGAACTTGCGTCCCCTGCCTTGGCAGGCAGATTCTTTTCTGTTGATCTACCAGGGAAGTCCATACTCTGCATGGTCATCTAGTTTAGTAGCCATTTAAAAGGAGTAAATTAGAAGTTAATGTGCTCCAACTAATAAAAATAAATGGAAAAAAAAAAGAAGTTAATGTGCTGTAATATGGCCCCCTCACCACATATAAATGGGAAAAGAGGCAGTCAGAGACAGAGATGTCCATGAAAAAAGGTTTAAGGAATTTTGGTACAGTGATCTGCATCCTCAACATGAAGGGGGACAGATAGCTTTACTTAGTTTAATAATTCCAAAGTAAACAAGTATGTTCGTAAAGAAGATTCTAAATTATCAATCACACATTAAATATGGTCACTGTACTACTTAACTGAGCTTCAACAGGGAAGGGAAGATTATAACACAATTTAGAGATACCATATATCCACTCAAGGAGATTCCCAGGTGGCGCAGTGGTAAAGAACCCACCTGCCAATGCAGGAGATGTAACAGACCCAGGTTCAGTCCCTGGGTCGGGAAGATCCCCTGGAGAA